CACCTCTGAAGACAATAACCTGCAATAGGAGACGAAATCGGCCTACATAACTCAACAGTGATTAAAAGATTCGTCTAAAGGACAGAAGCCATATAAAAAGTTTTTTTATTATACCTGAATCACAATCTCCGTTTAACACTCAATGCGTGGCGAAAAAGGGCTTTAAAACCACACGTGCTTTAAAGTTGCTAACAGTAACGATACTTGCAAGTATGAACTTTTTGAAACTTCATCTGGATGAAATAAAATAACTCCTCATAGGTCGGCTTTCTGTAAAATGCAGAAACATCTTTGGCTTTTGTACCTATCCTTTGGTTGAAGCTTTCACAAACGCGCGTAATTTAGGGTATGCTTCCAAATCTTTCCACTTTTTTAATCGCATACAATTGCTTGAAAGTTTTTGAATGAATGCACCAAATATCAGAAGATTTAAATACTCTTTGGCATTCCTTCATATATGGCCAGCATTAATGGAATGCATTTAAATACTTTATTCTCTATATTACTTCCTTATTCCATCCATGGAAAGCAACTTTTCATATTCTTTATAATAGGCTTTAACTGGATTTGGATTTACACCTACCAACGTTTGTATAGATTTACAACAATCGACTTTATGGACGGTGTATTACTTTTTAAGGAAAATGCGTTTAATTCACAAAGACGAATGATTTTAAAGAAACGTCAAGTGACATTTCCAGGCAATCGTGAAATTTTCGAACACCAGTCCCACTTAATAAACATGTAAATCGAACGTAATAACGGTCGAATATGATCATTGTATTCCTATTTTTGATAAATTATACTGCAAAGGTAAATAAAAAAATACTATAATGATACACGTGTATAATGTGGGTCTTTAAAAGCACTTGCAACGTTTAAGGCACTCGCTTTGCGTCGTGCCTTAACCGTTGCGCGTGCTTTAAAGACTCTGATTATACACTTTGTATCTTAATATACTATAAGAATCAAAATCATGAGTGATTATCGTTATTCAAAAAAGTTTAAAACGTGTGTACGGCCGCTATACGAAGAGAGAAAGTTATGGTAAAGTATGTTTTAGACTAAATTCGAATAACCCACAAAAAGCTTTGGAGTAACCCTTCAAAAACCTCCAATCCATAGGCATAATAAACCTCAAATTCCGCCAGTCTTGTCGCCTTCAGAACCTTTAATCAATATTTCCATTTAATTCAATAAATCCACAAAACATTGAAGGATAAACCTCATTGCATTTCTACAAACATACAACTGTAAAAGGGATGTGATGGATAAATTTGCTTAAAATGCAGTAGTGAACTCGACGTAATCTAAAATAGATTAAAAAACTAAGTCAAATGCGACAGGAATTGACAACATTAACTTAAGCTTAAAACTTGTTGCCCCCTATTGCATCACAATTATAACGCAACTTATTAACAACTCCCTCAAGTCCACTCAGTAGTACCATTTCTATGGAAGAACTCCATTTTATATTCCCCTGTTCTAATAATTTCAAGCCCAACTCAGTGATGCGACCTGCGTCCAAATCAGTATATTACCGACCCTTCAAAAATTTCCTGCGAAAAGTAGTGTAGGGCGCGAACAATTACATCAACATCGTCCCACCGATATATCATCCCCCACGTTCAAAAATCAGGATTCGGCCATTTCTACAGTACAACACAGCACTTAACAAAATACTAACGACAAATTGCTACAGCAATTGATCAAGGACGTCACCACTGGGGTACTAATGGACTACAGCAAAGCATTTGTAATGTGATAAACATAAATTGCTTCTCGCCAAATTGGCATACTACGGACTCTCTGCAACTCATCCAAATGGTTCGGTGTTATCTAGATAACAGAACGCAGTGCGTAAAACTTTAATGTGAGATCTCCAATGAGTTCAGATTCTAAAAAAGGAGTACCACAACGGCAGTATCTTGGCCCTTTGTTGGTTTTATAACCTTTTTACTTCTATCTACCGCTGTGCACTTACCGACGCGAACGCCTGTACTGGTTCATCTATATGCGGACGCTACGCAAAATGTATACATCGTGGTAACCGTCTCGAGTGAATCAAGCAAGTGCATACTTTAAACAACAATTTGCGTCTTGTTCGGAAGTGGTCTTGGCAAATGGTTGTTCCTAAATCCGACTAAACAATAGCTTATGTGTATTGGGTGTAAACTTCAAACGTGAACGCGCATTAGAGCACTTAAGTGAGCAAATAAAGTAGGTGCGTAAACTTTCCGCTTAGTGGATGTGGGGAAGAATCTGGGGGTGTGGTTTTGAAAACATTTAAATTTTGAAAAACACGTATCTAAATGTTGCAGGTATCCTTTTGCGAAGTTCAAACTATATTTAATATAATTTAAAAAGGTGTTGTCGTCTTCATTGAAATGTCTTTAGCCAAAAAAGCCTAGTTATGAGTAACTTTCAATTAACTGCAGCCATTGTAATATTACAGTTTTCTTACAAAAGGTGTATAGAACAAAATTCAATATGTAAAAAACACTTGTTTACGTTACTCTTTTAGTATAACTAAATAGTGCACATGTTACGCCCCCAAATAAATAATTTCTTTTAAACAAAAACCCCTTCAATCTTAAAAAAGGGAAAGGAAACGTTTTGTTACCAAAACTTATGGTTTAATATAATCTACTTGTAATAAAGTCCAGGTTACTTAACAGCCAGTTGATTTTCGATCTTATTTGCATAGCGTGAGATACAAGGTTCAAATTTGGTACAATATTCCACCCATGAGAACTTCAAAAATATAAATGTAGCTAACGTCAGTTAGTAGCGCCCACTTTGGTTAAATAAATATATTCAAGGGAGAGACAATTAAAGATAAAAAGAAATTTTTTGTAAAAAATAATCTGAAACCGCAAATGATCTGAAATTGTATCCATTGAAATAACTTTGACTCAACGATATTATAACTTAAAATTTCATTTACATCTCCTTTACATTATTTCTAAGTTATCTTTCTGTTATTATAGTTTGATCTTCTTTCTTTTTATAATGCCTTAAAATTAAGTTAGTTAATGTATCTGTACTTGCTGGTGGAGTGAAAACAGCTTTGGCTGAACTCCTACCATTGTTTTTCACCAATAAAATAAATAATAATAATAATAATAATAATAATAATTTAAATTCAAATATCTGCGTCCATACCTGATCGCCTCTTGGACGCCGATCTGTTTCGTTCGTATTGTTTGGCGATGACGTAAAATGCTACTCAAAATGTTACGTCTTCGTACGTTACCTATAAACTCCTGCTGTACGTTAATTCATTAAGCAAAAGAGCAAACTGCTCCCAGCGTGCGGGGTTTGTGTTTTACTGTGGTCTAAAATAATTGTAAAAGTGTCGTGTATTAGATCGCATAATATTAGACGATGGTATGGAATACCGTGGTATTGAAACGGTACCTCGGTTGTCCCAGTCAATATTTTCCGAAGTTGGCAAGTAAGAGTAATTCGGGTGAAGGGCCATCCGTTTGGGAAAACTTCTTAGAAAAAGTGGTAAAAACAACTTTCCTTGATGTGTTGTCAGAATATATAGGGTTTATTGAATTGCAATGCTATGACAACCTTAAAAAGATCAAAATGAATTTAACATTGCAATGATAAAAAAACTGAAACTATTGTAACATTGGCCATCTAACCCAGTATCTTATCGAAGTGTGGGCATCGATTATGAGACAGATGGGTATTGTTAAAAAAGTAAGTATACTTAAATTTTTAGTTGTGTTTCGCAAAATTAACTTTATTTTTTCTTCTTCGCTGCAATCTTGCCGCCAACATCCTTTGACACTATTTTCAGAGGTTGCAGTTCTGACGAATAAAGGCCATGTTTGCAGGAAACCGAATGGAAAACTAAAATCGACAGACGGGTAAATCTATTTGAAACCACAATGCGTTTCAGAATACAATCTAAGATGGCGTAGGTTTTTGATAAACAAGACATGCAAGTTATTTTATGAACTGTGCAAGGAAAATCGTTAAAAATGGTACAAAATATTATTCTTGTTTCATAAGTACGAAGAAAATGCACCGTTTCCCGGACGAGGAAGGGTGGTGGCTGGACGTCCACAATTCCGAGCACGAAACGCATTTACTTCATTTTTATTGCAGAAGAAGGGGATTGCCAATATAAAGCGGAAAAAGTGAATTGGAGTGAAGCGACGATGAACCGCTTGCTGCAAAGCGTCCTAGGAAAACAGCAAAAATTTTCACAAAAAGAAAGCTGGGAAAAATGTGAACCAGTGACACAGACCTGGCCGGGCTCGTTAGCCGGCGGAGCCAAACAAAGAGAAATAAACGGTAAACGCAAGCACTCTGGAAGGACTAAAATCCTTTAGAAATTTTTGAAAAGTTGGGTAAGACGAAAAGTGATTGACACATAGTTTATCAAGTAATTTGTATGCCCAGTCAAATAGTACCGACCATACATTTTCTGTAAATAGTGAAGATATGAGAACTTTCATCGGTATTCTTCTTTTTTCGGATTACCATAAAATGCCCAGAGAACGAGAACGAATTTCTTTCAATGCTTTTTTCTAAAACATAAGAAGTTGAACTGCGCATGCGCAAACCTAAAATTTAAAAACTAAGTGTTAGCATTTTCTTTGTCCAAGGCGCCTAGTATCAATTTCAG